TGTCATAGCCAATCCCTTAGTGGATAACCTCATTCATGGCAAAAATGGTATGATTCTTGGAGTTGTGCTGAACTCCCCGTTTCATCTTGTGATAAAACTTTGTGATATTTATATATTTGGCTTGACATTGAATTCATATTTAACTCATTAGAGTGATGCTCTTTTTGTGGTTTATTAATTTTAGTGTTTTAAATACAATGAGATGTTCTGTGGGACTTTAAGACTATAACTCATTGTTACTTGCTACTCTGTAGGATTTCTGTTTACGTATGGCGTGACAGGAAGTGGGAAACGCCTGCTTCCTCATTGCTTAAAAATGCTATTAACATCATAGGGTCATATCAAGGAAAACGTTACATATGTACAATTTCATTGGTTTGTGACTCTTACTATACACACAGGACTGGGACATGGATGGATGCAGTACTGAGGAAGGACAAAGAGAAGCCATGCCCATTCCAAAGACCCACTCTAACAAGTGAGTAGGTGACTCAGGGCGGGTGGAATTGTGTCCTACAGTTTCTGTAGATCTGGAGAAGTTAGATATGAATAGAGAAGTTGGTCTTACAACTGACTCTTGTGAGGTCAGAATTGAGGCGGCACATTCTTGACTGCTCAGGTATTTTATCTAGTTTAAGGAGGATATGTCTGTGAATGGGAGGAAGGTGTATTCCTGTGTTGTGCATCTTGAGGACTTAGGGTGTCCTTGACCCACCTTGAATCTGAATAACATTGCTTTATGATTTCAACTTTATGTGACAGAACATTTGTCAGACTTTTCAGGTTTCACTCTGATATCTCAATTAGGTTTCTATTGCTTTGATATAATATATTGAACAGGGAAGCAGCTTGAGGAGGAAGGGATTTGTTTTATCTTTCACTTCCAAGTAACAGTCCATCACTGAGAGAAGTCAGGGCAGGAACTCAAGGCAGGAGTTGATGCAGAAGCTATGGAGGGTTCTATTTTCTGGTTTGCTCCCATGGCTTGCTCAGCTTACTTTCTTATACAACCCAGGGTCACCTGCCCAGGGTTGGTACTACACACATCAATCATTAATGAAGAAAATGTTAGACAGACTTGCTTGTTGGTCAGTTTTTTAGAGGTAGGTATTTTCTCCAATTGAGAGCCCCTTTTCCCAAAGACTCCAGCTTGTGTCAAGTTGACATAGAACCATCCAAGACAGCCGTTATCTACTTTCTATCCTAACTCATAGTAGGTAAATTTTGAAGTAAGGGAATCTGTTTTCTTGTTGTAGGCAACAAGCAAATCCAGAGTTTACAGATATGATAGACATAGTAGAATTCTGCAAAGTAGAAGAAGTTGATGAGGACAGTGTCTAGCCACAAACCTTGTACTTCAAAATTTTGGCTTCCTTTTCCAGTCGTTGTACTTCTGAATTCTGGAGCTTTTAAGAAACAGTTGGGAAAATAATCCTTGTATATTTAAAGCTTTTGTGGATATGTGTTTTGAAGTATAAAAATCTTTACTGCAAGTGCTCAGAAGTACTTATACTGTAGAGGCATGACACATGTGAAGTACATGTCCCCTGTCTTCTTTAGAATTATTTACACTGTTGAAGCGTGACACATGTGAAGTTCCTGTCCCCTGTCATCTTCAGGAGTTTCCTACACCAGATCTTCAACAGCTTGCACTCTTTTTTCTGGCTGTACATGAGGAATGTTTTCTATGTCGATGCCTCAGACATATTTAAGTGTTATATTGATCCTGTTGATATCTTTAACAGACCTGCTAATCTACATATTACTTCACAAAGCAAGCAATAATTGTTTTTTGATCAAGAGTGCAAAATGGATTAAAATGAGTAAAATGGATTAAATGAGTAAAAACAGTAGAGACTTTTAACTCATTCAGATAAAGACATGAACAACAAAAAACAACTTAAAAAATACAGATGCTGGCCTAGGGAGACTGTTCAGTTCTTGGATCCCTAGAACCCATGGGAAGCTGGGTATGCTACAGCATGTCTTGTTTCTACATTCAGACTCTTTACCATCTGGTTGGGCTGGGGCTAGTGTGGACGATCTTCATTTCTGACTGCTGAAAAAGGAGAAACATGGTGCAACAATCACTTTTGCATCTGGGAATGAAAAACATTAGAAGGGGGGAACCACCTACACCCCTGCAGAAAAGTAATGATAAACCTCACAGGATGTTCAGTTCCTAAGAACAAGAGGCTAAGAAACAGCTTTTTACAGATGTATTTGTGACCAACACTCACCCATTTGGCGATTCTTGTTTTGTATCAATAGTAGTAAATGTAACCGATTGTCCACCACATCTCGTTTTAAATATATCACCCTAAATCCAAGAGAAAAATGTCAGTTACACTTGATACATCCAAATGATAGTGTATCAAGTTTCTGTGGTCTTTTCTTGGCAAATGTGGTGGCATTATGACTTGTAACAAGTCCCCTTATATGTCACTCAAACAATGTTAGAATGCAGAAGTCCTTCGTCTATATACTACATTTTAATTAATATTTTCCTACTTACTTTTTCTATAGGTGTATATATTGTGTTTTAAAAGGGGTCTGATAGAACATGGATATAGGTGAAACATTTGTCATGGATTTAAGAACTGAGTACAATAAATTTATGTATTCAAAACATAAAAAAATAAAATAAAATGAAAATACTCATAAAATCTGAAAAAAAATGCTGAAAATGTTCTGTGTCTGACAGTATCAAATATTTAGCCAAGATTTAATTCTCTATGAAAAAAATAAACAAGTGTGCCCACCTTACTAGTATGTAAATTTACTTTCATCTGTAATAAGTAGTAAAACTATACATAATTGCCAAAGAGTTGTTTTAAAATAAATTCCTTTATGATTTATAGTCAGAAAATGTTCACGTGATAAACCTACTTCATGGAACTATAAAGCTAGAATCACCCAAGATTTTCTCCGGCAATAAGGGCCAGGAGAGAAAAGGGGGGGATCTCTCCATCATGTCTCTGTCTCCGAGATTAGAAAATACTAAAGAGAAGACTAAAGAGAAAGAGGGAAAAGGGAGATATGACACTGAGGTCTTTACAGGCTTACAAGGATACTAACTGAAAATTAGGGAATTCTGTTCCCTCTGGTCCCTCAGGACTTGGTAAGTAGAAATCATTGTGGGGGAAGAGAAAGGAAACACTTCCCTGTGCAAGAGGATGCAAGACCTGCTAACAGAGCATATGAAAATGTCTTTCTCACCTGTGGGACATGGGTGTATCCACTATAGCACAGGAGGCAGCTGAAGCTCCCTCTGAGTTCTACTCCAGCCTAGTCTACAGAGGGAGACCCTACCTAAAACTAAATAAGAAAAATAAATAAACTACAGTATAGTGAATTAGAGAGCCTATCTAAAGAAAGGAAAGGAGAGATGCAAAGAGACACTGTATGGTGTGCTTACAGAAAAAGGAACTTCTTGATTTTGTCTAAGGATCCCTGTTTGGATCATGACAGGTGATTATAGAGATAGACATGGAGATGATAACTATTTCCAAACCAAATGTGCTATCTGGGCCACAGGCTCTTCTGTCATCACTCTAAATGGCTGGAGAATAAAGGATGACTGTGATGAGAATCCTAGGGTGGGGTTCTAATGAGAAATAGTACCAGAGATGCCAAGTTCTCTTGGGAGGACAATATTCTTGCATGGTGTACTCTGCAGTGGAAAAACAATCCTAGTCAGATCTGGTGACAATGTGTAGGTAGAAGACTCATCATCTTTAAAACACACTGACACTGACACACACACACACACACACACACACACACACACAGAGAGAGAGAGAGAGAGAGAGAGAGAGAGAGAGAGAGAGAGAGAGAGAGAGAGAGCGAGCATTTTCTTCATTAATGATTGATGTGTGTAGTACCAACCCTGGGCAGGTGGCCCTGGGTTGTATAAGAAAGTAAGCTGAGCAAGCCATGGGAGCAAACCAGAAAATAGCAGACTCCATGGCTTCTGCATCAACTCCTGCCTTGAGTTCCTGCCCTGACTTCTCTCAGTGATGGACTGTTACTTGGAAGTGAAAGATAAAATAAATCCCTTCCTCCTCAAGCTGCTTCCCTGTTCAATAATATATTTTATCACAGCAATAGAAACCTAATTGAGACGATATCAGAGTGAAACCTGAAAAGTCTGACAAATGTTCTGTCACATAAAGTTGAAATCATAAAGCCATGTTATTCAGATTCAAGGTGGGTCAAGGACACCCTAAGTCCTCAAGATGCACAACACAGGAATACACCTTCCTCCCATTCACAGACATATCCTCCTTAAACTAGATAAAATACCTGAGCAGTCAAGAATGTGCCGCCTCAATTCTGACCTCACAAAAGTCAGTTGTAAGACCAACTTTTCTAATTAGTATTTACCTTCTTCTCCAGATCTACAGAAACTGTAGGACAGAATTCCACCCGCCCTGAGTCACCTACTCACTTGCTAGAGTTGCTCTCTGGAATGGGCATGGCTTCTCTTTTCTGCCGTTCCAACAAGGCATCAACTTCAGGCTGTATCTCCATGCTGTTCCTATGATTAGACTTAAACGTCTAAGAGAGAGGCAAGAAAGACTTGAAAATAAGAACTTTACTTAAAGAATAGGAAGACTTAAAAATAGGATGCACGTTAACACTTAAACATGGGGAAAGGGCATGAGACAGCGCTTGATCATCTGGTTTATACCACCCAAGCGCTGCCAACCACAGGCCCGCAGCCAATGTGCCCACCACCACATGTAAGAGTCAAAGCAGTCCCATTGTCTTTGTCCTTCCTCAGTACAGCATCCATCCATGTCCCAGTCCTGTGTCTATAGTAACAGTCACAAACCAACAAAATTGTACATACGTAACGTTTTCCTTGAAATGACCCTACGCTCTGAGAGATCATTTGCAAACAATGAGGAAGCAGGCCTCCGGACCCCAGAGACCCCCTCATTGTGTACGTCTTTCCACTTCCTGTCACGCCATACGTAAACAGAAGTCCTACAGTGTAGCAAGTAACAATGAGTTATAGTCTTAAAGTCCCACAGAACATCTCATTGTATTTAAGACACTAAAATTAATAAACCACAAAAAAAGAGCATCACTCTAATGAGTTAAATATGAATTCAATGTCAAGCCAAATATATAAATATCACAAAGTTTTATCACAAGATGAAACGGGGAGTTCAGCACAACTCCAAGAATCATACCATTTTTGCCATGAATGAGGTTATCCACTAAGGGATTGGCTATGACATAGATTTCCTTCTGGGTGGACTGCATATCAAATACGTTGGTGAAATTATATTTCATCTGTGGAGAAAAGAAAGACATCACCACACAGAATTCCATTAGAGCTATATCTGTTCTATACTTGGAATGTTTCTGTTGTGAACATATATCAAATCCAGACTCGTTAAAAAAAAAAAACCACAAAAAAACAAAAAACCAAACAAAAACAAGAATGATCTTTAGGCTTGGAGCCTTCAGTAGTCAAAATGTACATAAACCACAGCTATCTTAACAATTACCTTCAGTCCTAGCCACTGAGGAAAAGTGAAGAAAAGTCATTGAGTCCACTAATGCTGCACAGATTAAGAGTGAACAAAAGTGAGCTTGTATAGCCAGTGCTACAGAGGCTGAGACAGGAAGTCTGCCATGAGTCTGAGGGCAGCCTGGGCTACACAGAGTCATAGGCCAGACTTGGCTATAGTGTAAGATCCTGTTAACAAACAAAGCAAAACAAGGTAATGACCTATAATCCTAAATTTATGCCAGGCAGTGGAGGCACACACATTTAATATCAGTACTGAGGAGGCAGAGACCGGCTGATCTGAGTTTGAAATCAGCCTGGTCTACAGAGTGAGTTCCAGGATAACCTAGTCTATACAGAGACCCCTTATCAAAAAAAATCAAAATATGTAAATAAATGTATTAAAATTTTCAAGCATTATAGCTTCTATTTGTTGTTCTTTCTTTTCTCTTTTCTTCTTTGGAGTGTGTTTGTATGAAACATTCTGTATGTAGTTATGGCTGGCCTAGAACTTGCAGTGTAGACAAACCAGGCTGGCCTTCAAGTTTAAGTGATCCTCCTACCCTTGCTTCCAAGTGCTAGGATCACAAGCATGCATCACCATTGGCCACAGCTCTCTATTTGTTCTTTACAAAGGTCTATGTAAAGCAGCAAGAACCAACAAGATGGCTCAACAGGTAAAGACACTTGCTAGCAAGCCTGAGAACTTAGGCTTGATCTCTGGAACCCACCTGGTGAAAGGAAAGAACAGTCTATAGGTTATTCTCTGCCCTCCTAAGTACACAATGTGCACACAAATTGTAAATAGGATGGCAAAATAACAAGTGTACATTTTAAATCTAGAAATGAGTTATAAATATAATCTTATGAAGTTTTTTTTAATAGTTTTTGTGTTTATTTATTGTTTGTTAAGACAGGGTTTCATTGTGTTGTCTTATCTGTTCAGCAGTCCTGGAGCTCACTCTGTAAAGCAGGCTACCCTTGGACTCAAAGATCCGCACACTTCTGCCTCCCAAGTGCTGGGATTAAAGGCATGTACCACCCAGCATTATCTGAGTTCTTATACAAAATAAATGTTACTTTTTGCAATGTATTTTTATATATGTGTATGTATACACATACATGTAAAATGATTTAAGACAGTCTTATGTAACCCAAGGTAGTCTTGAACTTACTATGTAACCAAGGAAGAACTTGAATTTCTGATCCTCTTGCCTCTACCTGCAGAGTGCTGAAATTATAAACTTATGCCACCATGACAGTGGGAGATTGGTTCAGATCTCCCACAGAAACTAACTCAGGAGGCTAAGACAAGTTCTAGTTCAGTCAAGTTAATATGTGAGGCCCTGTCTCAAAAACAAACAACCAACCAATCAAACCAGAAAGCAAATAAACAGAAAACAGAAAGATGAGAAAGAGGGGGTTAGGGGAAGAGCCCTGAACACAGCCCACCTTAGTATTCAGAGGCTAGACAGAAGCCAGCAGAGGGGATAGTGACATAACAGCCTAAAGCTAAATAGGGCAAGTTTAGTGAGCTTCAGGAAGGGGTGGGCTGCTGAGATAAAGAGACAAAGTTAGCAGCACAGAGGACAATAAAATTCTAGCAAACGGAATCCAAGAACACATCAAAAAAATCATCCATCATGATCAAGTAGGTTTTATATCCCAGGAATGCAGGGATGGTTCAATATTCGGGAATCCATCAATGTAATCCACTATATAAACAAACTCAAAGAAAAAAAACACATGATCATCTCACTAGATGCCGAGAAAGCATTTGACAAAATTCAACATCCCTTCATGATAAAAGTCTTGGAAAGATCAGGAATTCAAGGCCCCTACCTAAACATAGTAAAAGCAATTTACAGCAAACCAGTAGCCAACATCAAACTAAATGGAGAGAAACTTGAAGCAATCCCACTAAGATCAGGGACTAGACAAGGCTGTCCGCTCTCCCCCTACCTATTCAATAGAGTACTGGAAGTCCTAGCCAGAGCAATTAGACAACAAAAAGAAGTCAAAGGGATACAAATAGGAAAGGAAGAAGTCAAAATATCACTATTTGCAGATGATAGTATACTTAAGTGACCCCAACGCTTCCACCAGAGAACTCCTAAACCTGATAAACAACTTCAGCAAAGTGGCTGGTTATAAAATCAACTCAAACAAATCAGTAGCCTTCCTCTACATGAAAGATAAACAGACTGAAAAAGAAATTAGGGAAATGACACCCTTCACAATAGTTGCAAATAATATAAAATACCTTGGTGTGAATCTAACCAAGCAAGTGAAAGACCAGTACGACAAGAACTTCAAGTCCCTGAAGAAAGAAATCGAAGAAGATCTCAGAAGATGGAAAGATCTCCCATGCTCATGGATTGGCA